AAAAAAAAAAAAATATATATATATATATATTATAAAAAATCTAACAAAATTGTATTTCACCTCAAGGTTTTTTTTTTTGGTGAGACAGAGTCTCCCTGTTACCCAGGCTAGATTGCTGCGCCATCAGCTTAACTCATAGCAACCTCAAACTCCAGGGTACAAGTGATCCTCCTGCCTCAGTCCCCTGAACAGATGGCAACATTAGTGTCCACCATACTACCCACCAGGCTAATTTTTCTAGTTCTAGTAGAGACAGAGTCTCATTCTTGCTCAGGCTGGTCTTGGACCTCTGACCTCAAATGCATAAGGGATAATATGAAAAATTATGTCACCGAGGCAGGTAAAGACAAAGGGAAATAGAGTTATTTTGATCCTTATTGCCCAGACATTCCTTCATCTCACAATAACTACATATTAGTATATGTACATTTTTGCTTAAGGAAAATGCAGGGGCATGCGAGGGGGCATACTTGGCACAGGAGAGAAGCGTGTAGAAATATAATCACACAGAGCATGTTCACCCACAGGATGCATGTTTGAGGGTGTGAGAGTCTGAAGTTGCACTTCTCTGGGATTTTCACCTAAGTATCCTAGGGCAGAATGCAGAGGCAATAACTTGCCTACTAAGGATGATAACCTCTTAGTAATCATACTTACCTAAGTGTATGTACCTCAAAGAATATGTTCTTTGATTTCACCTGAACATTTTTTTTCTAGATGCTTTGACTATAAGGACCCATTAGTGCATCATTACTGCTTGTTATGAAGTATCATGAGGTGGAATAAAACAACACTGGTAGAACCACTGTGATTTATTTATAGTTATGAAAAAATTTCTTCATTAGCTGAAACTAAGAATTATGTTGTATCCTGAATAAAACAGTTGCAAGTTACAATGCCAAGAGGTAAATGTGAATCCTCGTCATGAGCGTGCTCTATTGGTCTTATGATGAACTGTTAACTCAGATATTTCTTTTCTCTCTTTAGCTTCTAAGGAAGACTTCTATCAGTCTTTGATAAACAACACCTAGCACCATCCAGTGAAGGTGACCACCATTATCCCTGCATTGTTTTTACAACCTTTATTAGTCCTTAAGACTTTAGTACTGTCTTCCCATAAAATTCTAAGTGTGGAAATGTTGTGCTCTGATCCTTTTGTGTGAGTTGGTAGAACATTTCATTCCTATAACCCACTGTGTCTTCTTCTTTTTTTTTTTTTGAGACAGAGCCTCAAGCTGTCACCCTGGGTAGAGTGCCATGACATCACAGCTCACAGCAACCTCCAACTTCTGGGCTCAAGCGAGTCTCCTGCTTCCACCTCTCAAGTAACTGGGACTACAGGCAGCTGCCACAATACCAGGTTATTTTTTGGTTGCAGCCCTCGTTGTTTCGCGGGCTGGGCTGCATTTGAACCTGCCAGCTCAGGTGTATGTGGCTGGCACCTTAGCAGCTTGAGCCACAGGCACCGAGTCCCACCATGTATTCTTTAAAGAGAAATGTGTGGTGAATACTGGAGGAATGAAGACTGACACCACATTGTACAATATGCACTGCTCTCTGCCATCCTGTGTAAATCAGACAATATTAATCCTTTTTTTCTTTTTTTTTTTGAGACAGTCTCACTTTGTCACCCTGGATAGAGTGCTATGGCATCATAACTCACAGCAACCTCAAACTCCTGGGCTCAAAAGATCCTCCTATTCATAAACTCTGGCTCAAAGCCTGTCTCTAAACAACACCCTCATTTAAAAACTCTCTCAATTTGTCGCTACAGACACCCACCACAACACCTGGCTATTTTTTTAGAGATAAGGTCTTATTCTTGCCCAGGCTGGTCTCAAACTCATGAGCTCAAGTAATCCACCCACCTCAGCCTCCCGGAGTGCTAGGATTACAGGTGTGAGCCACCATGCC